TGGCCGCCAGAAGGCCCAAATTGGCACTCCTCCTTTGTTTGTCAGTCGAGGACTTCTAGCACAGAAAACGTGATAATGGGAACAGGCCGTTGAATATCGAATCAACTGCGACATGTTAAAAACACCATCGGTTCGGGATGCAGGGATGCTTCTATCCAGAAATGAATAATTCACAGTAGGGAAATTGAAATCATCACACTTATCACGTAGCTTGGCGGAAAGCTGTTTGTTTTCGTTGTAGGAAAAATCTATATATTTGGCTAGCAGTTATAATAACAAATTTGAACAAAAACACCAAGAAAATACCAATATGGCAACATAATCATTTTTTAAACTCAAATTCCATAAACTAGGGCAAAATATGAACAAATGAAAGATTTATACGTAGACTCCTGAAAAAAGTACACTGAGAATAAGATATGGTGTTCCGGAAGAGTATTCGTCTTCTGCTTCATCGACGACATCCGCCATGTAAACCTTAGTCTATCCAAAAATAATGTCACGTTCTCAAATGAGAACAAGGTACACAACAACGGAAACAACAGGCAAACTAACGTGCATCAAACACGTCCAGCTTCATATCACACAAAGAAGGAGAATATATATCGCTATAGCGACCATAAAACGGTAACAGTAAACATCACAAACATAAACAATGTGCATTGTTTAACACAATATATATCAAGAGTGGGTGTTTGTATGTTGGTGAGGGTGCGTGTGTGTAAGTGTGTGTGTGTGTGTGTGTGTGTGTGTAAGGGGGCGTGGGTTGGTATGTATGTCTATATATATAAACATATACACTGCGGATGAATTTTTATACCGATGCACGAATGATATAATGGTCATGGCAATTATGAATAGTGGTGAGAGGAAGTGTGTGTCATGTTTTCTTGTGTATGTTTGTATTTATGTGAAAATTTCCAAAAATAAACAAATGCAAAAAAAAAATATATATATATATCAAGAGCCAGATCTTAGTTGTAAATTTCAAATTAATAATCATAATTGTTTGTTAAAAACGTTTGTGTTTTTACAAGGTGAGTATCAGAAAATCTCCTTAGGATTGTTCGTATTATTTGTGATAGGATCAATAAATCTAGCTACTCAGTAATTACGTTAGACCGTTGGGTGTACTCCAAGGACACTAGCGTTAATTTACTACTGGGGTGTGTACAACACTGATACGATCAAATTATCAAAAGTTACATGTGCTTTATCTTGGAAACACTTAAATACTTGATACAGGGAAATTTGCCCCAAGAGTTTCTCATTATTAACGAATAAAAAAGTATCTCTTAGAAATCCTATCAAGAACATCACAAATATTCCACTCAATAATGTGATATCATCTCTGATTGTTGTCGGAATCAAGGACATTTTGGTTTAAGGCTATTTGTCGCCCAATAGTAGTTGTCAGAATCAAGGACATTTTGGTTTAAGGCTATTTGTCGCCCAATAGTAGTTGTCGGAATCAAGGACATTTTGGTTTAAGGCTATTTGTCGCCCAATAGTAGTTGTCAGAATCAAGGACATTTTGGTTTAAGGCTATTTGTCGCCCAATAGTAGTTGTCGGAATCAAGGACATTTTGGTTTAAGGCTATTTGTCGTTTGCTAGTAGTTGTCGGAATCAAGGACATTTTGGTTTAAGGCTATTTGTCGCCCAATAGTAGTTGTCGGAATCAAGGACATTTTGGTTTAAGGCTATTTGTCGCCCAATAGTAGTTGTCGGAATCCAGGACATTTTGGTTTAAGGCTATTTGTCGTTTGCTAGTAGTTGTCGGAATCAAGGACATTTTGGTTTAAGGCTATTTGTCGTTTGCTAGTAGTTGTCGGAATCAAGGACATTTTGGTTTAAGGCTATTTGTCGTTTGCTAGTAGTTGTCGGAATCAAGGACATTTTGGTTTAAGGCTATTTGTCGCCCAATAGTAGTTGTCATAATCAAGGACATTTTGGTTTAAGGCTATTTGTCGCCCAATAGTAGTTGTCAGAATCAAGGACATTTTGGTTTAAGGCTATTTGTCGCCCAATAGTAGTTGTCAGAATCAAGGACATTTTGGTTTAAGGCTATTTGTCGCCCAATAGTAGTTGTCGGAATCAAGGACATTTTGGTTTAAGGCTATTTGTCGAATCAAGGCCCAATAGTAGTTGTCAGAATCAAGGACATTTTGGTTTAAGGCTATTTGTTGTAGTTAAATAATCAAGGACATTTTGGTTTAAGGCTATTTTTGCTAGTAGTTTCGGAATCAAGGACATTTTGGTTTAATGCTATTTGTTGCCCAATAGTAGTTGTCGGAATCAAGGACATTTTGGTTTAAGGCTATTCGTCGTTTGCTAGTAGTTGTCATAATCAAGGACATTTTGGTTTAAGGCTATTTGTCGTTTGCTAGTAGTTGTCGGAATCCAGGATATTTTGGTTTAAGGCTATTTGTCGTTTGCTAGTAGTTGTCGGAATCAAGGACATTTTGGTTTAAATTAGTGCAAATCAAGGACCTGCTAGTAGTTGTCGGAATCAAGGACCATTTTGGTTTAAGGCTATTTGTCTAAATTAGTGCAAATCCCTGCCAGTAGTTGTCAAGGACCATGGATATTCTAAATTAGTGCAAATCCCTGCTAGTAATTGTTGGGACCAGTAGTTGTCGGGACCATGGATTCTAAATTAGTGCAAATCCCTGCTAGTAGTTGTCGGGACCATGGATATTCTAAATTAGTGCAAATCCCTGCTAGTAGTTGTCGGGACCATGGATATTCTAAATTAGTGCAAATCCCTGCCAGTAGTTAGTCGGGACCATGGATTTTCTAAATTAGTGCAAATCCCTGCCAGTAGTTGTCGGGACCATGGATATTCTAAATTAGTGCAAATCCCTGCTAGTAGTTGTCGGGACCATGGATATTCTAAATTAGTGCAAATCCCTGCTAGTAGTTGTCGGGACCATGAATATTCTAAATAAGTGCTAATCCCTTCTAGTAGTTGTCGGACTAAGGACATTCTCACATGACTGGAGAAAATCATAAAAATGATATAAAAATTCTCACTTCTCATTCATTCTCATTCAAATCCCTGCTAGTAGTTGTAGGGACCATGGATATTCTAAATTAGTGCAAATCCCTGCTAGTAGTTGTCGGGACCATGGATATTCTAAATTAGTGCAAATCCCTGCCAGTAGTTGTCGGGACCATGGATTTTCTAAATTAGTGCAAATCCCTGCTAGTAGTTGTCGGGACCATGGATATTCTAAATTAGTGCAAATCCCTGCTAGTAGTTGTCGGGACCATGGATATTCTAAATTAGTGCAAATCCCTGCCAGTAGTTGTCGGGACCATGGATTTTCTAAATTAGTGCAAATCCCTGCCAGTAGTTGTCGGGACCATGGATATTCTAAATTAGTGCAAATCCCTGCTAGTAGTTGTCGGGACCATGGATATTCTAAATTAGTGCAAATCCCTGCTAGTAGTTGTCGGGACCATGGATATTCTAAATTAGTGCAAATCCCTGCTAGTAGTTGTCGGGACCATGAATATTCTAAATAAGTGCTAATCCCTTCTAGTAGTTGTCGGACTAAGGACATTCTCACATGACTGGAGAAAATCATAAAAATGATATAAAAATTCTCACTTCTCATTCATTTTTTTCTGAAGCTTAAACTTAACTTAAGCTTCATGATACTTTATTTTTTAACAATGGAACTTTTTTTAATAAAGGACACGGGTTGCCGATAAGTTCTGTTATATGTAGTTTCTATCTAGTGGCAAATGCTATTCTGTTATAAAATTAATATATATACAGAATTTGTCTTTTATGAGCATTCATGTACAGATATAGCCCTTCGTCATGGTAAGGTGTTGACCAATAACAACCTAGGACTGTTTTATGAATATGCCTTGTACAATGTATAGAATAAGTTGTAGAAGATATGTTTTGATAATTGATTGTGTTTTTCAGTATAAATACTTATCCATTAATAATTAAACAATTGAGAAGTCATAATTAAATATCAGCACGCGACATATTACATACAGACACCTTAACAGAAACATAATTGTGAAGAATAAACAATTCTGATGGATTAAAACAATGGAATATGGGTATACATTTCATTAATTACATATACATATCTCATAATGATATCGGTGACTAACATTCCCAAGGTTTTCCAAATGTGTTGAATATATAACATGCAGCCATACTTTCACAAAACATCAGTAAAATGCATTACATGACATATTATGAAGAAATTTCACAATATATGTCAAATGGTTGTACAACCTTTTATAATTAACAACATTACTGAATATTTGAATGACAATTTTGACACAGTTACAGGAAATGTTTAATGTAAGACTTCTCAAATTTATTTCTGCAGGTATTGAAATGCTGATCAGGAAGGAGACATAAAAAGAATGTCTTTTTTGTATAGAACATTCTGATTTTAGTGAATTCTATAAAGTAAATATATTTCTGTAATATCATAACAAGTGAGCAAAATGGTAGAAAAATGGTATTTTTCCTCTGTTCAGAAACTGATCAATAATCATACAAGTTTGACGTAATTGTTAATAAAACTAAAATGTGACTAGCACCTTTAAAATACAGGTAGCAGTAGATCAGATTACACCTCATGTTGAATATGTTGTCGTATTTGCACACCATACATCTGTTTCCTTCTTCTTGGACTCCACTGTTATGTTCTGGACTAGAAATACAGAAATGCGAAATGAAAACAAAAGGACCAAGACAAATAAAGGTATAGAAGATGTGGTTTAAAACTGTCCTTCAGTTGGTAAATTTTATATTTGATATATTTTAAGCGGCTTCAAGTGCCTGTGTTATTTTTAATATACCGATACACAGGTGTTGTTAAAATACATTTGTCTCCGCCAAGGTCACCTGCTGATTGTGCTGTAATGGAGAATTCATCCTTTTCGGGAGGGGGAAGTCGCATTTATGTTATAAAGCGTGATTTAACACTGGAATATATATTATATCTTAATGTTTCGATAGGTGGACGAGAGGACGAATTTAAGGCACTGTCGTCTGTTGAGAAGTACAATCCCCAACTGGACAGATGGGAGGAGGCACCTTCTCTCAGTAGTCCACGCCGGTGTGTGTCAGCAGCTGTACTCAACGGACGTCTGTATACGGCTGGAGGCACTGGTGGTAATGCAAACAATCCATTTACGTTATTACAGTTTCACGTGTAGTATGTGTCCAAAATGGAAAGTTATGTCAAACTAACCAGATGTTCTATTTTACACCACATGGCTGACAACATAACGAAATGATCGTGTACCAAACCTTTTCTGACAAGTCTATATATAGCTCTGAATGTAACTTTCTATATCTTTTCTCAGCTTTTTTTAAAAACTCATTACCAATTAATCATTGCTTGATTTCACTTTTTTCCCACGCGTTCTAGACAGAAGTCAGTTGATACTTAACCGAGCACATCAGTCTCTTTAAAGTCACCTTTTTTTGTGACAGATTTCATCAACAAAAATAATGCTTTATTTTTTTATATTTGTGAAGGTGGCAGTGGGATGAGCTATAAAAGCTAAGAAATGTATTTTGTCTTTATCCCAACGATAGCATCAAATACCAAGAATCACTTTACTGAACCACGGTGTTGTACATTTCTGTAAAACTTAAACGCTGTAAATCTTGTGTGTAACCCTCAATAAATTTATATCAACGTGTCAAAATTGGATTAAAGTGAGAGCATTTGATAAAAGTTTAACGCTGGAGCATTGAATAAGTATTATACACTGACTTTGTATCAACGTGACATCCTTGCTTCGTACATTTGCACTGTATTAATGTGCCAGTATACATAGATTTGTACTAAGAGGCTAATATTGGGCCTACATAACAAAGAAAAAATAGATGTGAGTTTCCTACTAACACGGATCGTTGCCAACCTTTTCCTCACCTGTCTGAACGATACCCAATCACGACTTATTAACGCGGCGAACTGACGACGCTTTGGCTGTCAATGACACCGGAAATGGGAAATATCGACCGGCACTGGAAAGGAGTAATCAAGAACGTTTATTTAACAGTTAGACAGCCTCTTTTGCACTTAACAAGAGCAGTTTGCGGTTAGATATATGATTCCTGTAAGCATAAAGAAATATTTGTAGAAATAGCAATCATGAAAGTTTAGAAAGCAGATAAAGTTTTCACACTATTGTGAGGGGGATACTACGGTCTAGAAATAGAAAGACAAGTATTTTAGAAAGTTATTCCATATAATGGCAATGCAGGGGTTACCTTTCATAACTTATTGTTTTGAGAACCCGGATGTCATTATACCATACGCCCAGGATGTGTGTAAAGTTGTGTTTCCGGATACACATTTAATTGCCGCCCCAACATTTTTTCCTAATTAAATGCCTTACTTCCAGTTTGATTAGCATAAACATTTCATTTATTTAGACTGAGTACAGTGACTTATAGAAGGATGCATAACGGTAGATCTAGTATGAATGGACTGGATATATAAAGCCATTTAACCTCTTAATATGAGGCCTCTAGCGTGGTACAGGATGTGTATTCTGTTACATACCCGTGACGCCGGCTGTTGGCGTATTCGCGCTGTGTATGTTAACTGACGTCCATCCATCTTCCATTTCTATGAGTTTCGGAAACGTTAACTGGCAGGCAGCTGGCCTCTACTATAGTCCAAATAATAGTAACACTATTGCTATATTGGGCTCTGCAATTTCTCATAAGCTATCAGTTTTCTCGATATCATGTTAAGAAATATCGGAAAGGTGTTTTGTGTTCCTATACAACCAGAGTAGCATTGGAAACGGTGTTTATGTAGGAAGGGTACGATGTACTGAGACAATATATCACATGTCTGTGAAGATCTTATTGTCCGTCATTATAGATGTATCTTTGAACTTCCCTGATAACTTGAACTTAAATTGAATAATGATGAATTGAATACAACATCGCAAATGCCATTAAAATATATCTCTGAATACAACAAATTCGCAAATGTAATATCAACACACCATTAAAAAAAATATATCTCTTACCACAGTTGAAGTGTTCCCTAGTCGGAACTTGATCACGTCTGCTTTAAGTTTGACAGAGATAATAAAAAAAAGCAAACAAAACAATCCCCGTTAAATCGACCCACACATTTTTATTGCCTTGCATTGAACGTGAACGAAGTCCGTAGTTTTAATCAACATTTAAATCAAACCAATTATTAAATTAACGCCGATTACTTTTGTGCAACAGGGTATCAAGGATGCAGCAATGTTTTATGATACACAATCTGATTAAAATTCAATCCTGGCTCCTAATTCTTCTTGTAGGACCCGACAACATCCCGTAAGGGGCCATGCTCTGGTATCCTTTGCACCCTCTGTGCTTCACACAAGGCGTATGGTCGAGCTGACATTGCATCTGCAATAAGTTATTTCGTCCCAGCGTGTAGATCAATCGGATTAAAATTCGTATCCCAATCCTCTCTCCGTTACTCTGCGCAAAGGAGTGAGAATAGGAATCAGCACTTTAATAACATTGACATGTTATGTCGAAATGACTTATAACAGAAAAAGGCTTATGATACTACTTCCCACACCTTCATTCACTTTTAAGATTTGGTAAGCCGTAATTTGATTGGCTCATGCAAAAGTTCTTTAGTACATGACCCTTATGGAATGTTGTCAGATTCTATACTCGTATTATCGATAACCGCAAGAAGCTCTTTTCGCGCGAGATTCGACAGTCCTAACACGGACTACCATTTAAAGTCCCGTCCGCCGAACTGTGGTTAGTAGTTAGTGATTAGCTTGGTGTAGGTGCAAGTTTATCTAAATTGTTTTCCTCATCTTGTAAACCTTTCCAACCATACAGTCGGAACTACTATTCTTCTTTACAAATGTCTATTGCTTTCTGAAATTCCACTTCATTCCTTCAAAATACATCCATTCACAATACCGACTTTTAGGAGAGTCCATTATTTTACAGGACGATGCCTTCATTACACACCACGTGTCCCATACGCGTAGCCAACGTTTTTAAGTGCTTCAATAACGTATGCACTCTCCCATGTGCGTTTGTAACAAATCGAATCGTCAATATTAACAACCAAATAGGAAAACATAAACAAATAATGATAGCCTTTATTAATCGGAAAGGGACGAGTTAATGTGCTTAATATATTTACAGACAATTTCTGTTACAATAACAAGTATACTTCATTAACAGAACACCAAATGACACTGCCAATATCGTTTTATTTCCTGCTTGATATGTTCCCAAAAATGTTGAGTTCCAAAAGTACTCTTCTAACAACAGAATAGTCAAACTTTCATTCTGAACGTAAATGATATGGATTGTGTCTCTCATGATCTGAATATTGGACCCCATTGGAAATACGCCTATTTTATAGCTTTATGGGTAATCCAAGGCCAAAGGCATTTTCATCTGGTTTTATCAAATTTCTCTCTATTTTATTGATGTTTCTAAAATTTTCAACTATTTTACTTAGAAGATTTGCAAGTACAGTCTAATTTAATTTCTGCGATACTAGTTTAAACTGTGATATTTTAAGGTATGTGAAATTCTTCTGTGATATTTGATATTTTATAATTAATAATTTAAGAAATCCACAATAATTCATTACTGATATTAATTGTTATGGAATTGCTTATGTAATATTTGTAATGTGTAATTGTATTATGCCTTTGCCTGAATAAACATAATAATAATTAATGTAGTGATCTAATTTGTATTTACAGGGGGCACAAATACCTACACCTTAGACGTCGTAGAATGTTACAGCCCGGCGAATAACAAGTGGCACCAAAAAAAATCTATCCAAGAAGCTAGATACTTTGCTCATTTGGTCCCTGTGAGAGGTTCGCTGTACCTGTTTGGTGGCGCTAGTGTCGGAAACATGGGGAAGATTTCCTGTGTTGAATCAGTGGAGAAATACACTCCGACCACTGACACATGGGTTACATTGACAAACATGAAGAATCCTCGGGCCGAATTTGGTTGTGCGAGCTTAGGAAGTAAAATCTACGTGGTCGGAGGCCACAACTGGTCCACGAAAGAGCGACTGAGTTCTGTAGATAGCTTTGATGTGGATTCCCAAATATGGAGTGACACTAATACCGTTCCCATCCTTACGCCGCTGACAGGAATCGCATGCTGTGCTTTGACACTATTTGATGATATGCCTTCTGAGTCAAAGAAAAAAACCGAGGATGTTAAGCGCGACAAAGGAAAAGAGTAAATTACACATATCTAAGTAAGGCCTTTTAAGAATTATTCATATTTGTGTACAATGGTTTGATAAGATTTTAAAGTGCCCTTGGTATTTCAAAAGTGTTAATTCATTACCTTTGTACGTCCATCTTGTGTTGAATAAAACTTTTATTGAAACTTCATTGTACGCGATAGATTTTTGAAACTCTCATCACAGATTAATGTAACGACAAAGATGTATGGCTCTTTACTGTGAAGGAAAACCTATTTCATTCCATCGTCTTTGTCGATCTAAAAATACTGATGACGACAGACAAACGTGCATTTGGAGTCACTGTGTCTAAACATTGAACATGTACGTACAGAAAACAAAACAACCTATTGATTCAATAACTGGATTACTACTTATCAAATGGCCTATAGATATGTATATTGAACATGAAGATGACATTTTACCACATCTCCAACACTATCACTGTTACGAGCACTTCCATGTAACTAACTCATCGGCTGCATTCGGGTTTTGGTAAGTAATCGCCGCAGTGCGTTTGAATATGAATAATACAGTTAAGTTTATTAAAAAAAATGATTAAAAAATAAAATAAAATATGATTTCAATGTTAAAAGCATAAGTACTTAACATTTACAGTCCAATCTGTGTTTCTATTTTTCAATATCAGCGCACGCTCTATCAACTTTCGAGAATCAGATTTAAGTTACATCTGATCTCACTGGATTTGGGTCAGTTGCCTAGAAGTTGGTACATGTGTGCGTTATGTGTCAAAATTACATTTGAAGCTGGCGAAGCATCATGTTTTAGTGCATATTGCTGCAGATAGCAACTTTGACGATCTGAAAAAGTAAAACATGATATATCTACAGGATATTTTTTCTGGTGATTGGTATTTTGACATAGCTCACTGAGATTACCTATTCGAATTTTTTGAAATAGGGAAAAAAAATCATTTGACGGTTGTTAACATTCAGATCGAATCATGACATAACATACCATATCAATTAGATATTTTCAAGGCAAAATGTTGCCGATATCAATCGTTCCATGACATACAGAAAGTAAATCGAGACCATTTCTCGGCATTCGGTCATCCGATGTGACGAAATCGTGTGTCGTAAGATACTCTGTCAGCCGATGTGACGAAATCGTGTGTCGTAAGATTCTCTGTCAGCCGATGTGACGAAATCGTGTGTCGTAAGATTCTCTGTCAGCCGATGTGACGAAATCGTGTGTCGTAAGATTCCCCGTCAGCCGATGTGACGAAATCGTGTGTCGTAAGATTCCCCGTCATCCGATGTGACGAAATCGTGTGACGTAAGATTCCCCGTCAGCCGATGTGACGAAATCGTGTGTCGTAAGATTCCCCGTCAGCCGATGTGACGAAATCGTGTGTCGTAAGATTCCCCGTCAGCCGATGTGACGAAACGAAATCGTGTGTCGTAAGATTCTCTGTCAGCCGATGTGACGAAATCGTTTGTGTCGTATGTGACGAAATCGTGTGTCGTAAGATTCTCTGTCAGCCGATGTGACGAAATCGTGTGTCGTAAGATTCCCCGTCAGCCGATGTGACGAAATCGTGTGTCGTAAGATTCTCTGTCAGCCGATGTGACGAAATCGTGTGTCGTAAGATTCTCTGTCAGCCGATGTGACGAAATCGTGTGTCGTAAGATTCTCTGTCAGCCGATGTGACGAAATCGTGTGTCGTAAGATTCTCTGTCAGCCGATGTGACGAAATCGTGTGTCGTAAGATTCTCTGTCAGCCGATGTGACGAAATCGTGTGTCGTAAGATTCTCTGTCAGCCGATGTGACGAAATCGTGTGTCGTAAGATTCTCTGTCAGCCGATGTGACGAAATCGTGTGTCGTAAGATTCTCTGTCAGCCGATGTGACGAAATCGTGTGTCGTAAGATTCCCCGTCAGCCGATGTGACGAAATCGTGTGTCGTAAGATTCCCCGTCAGCCGATGTGACGAAATCGTGTGTCGTAAGATTCCCCGTCAGCCGATGTGACGAAATCGTGTGTCGTAAGATTCCCCGTCAGCCGATGTGACGAAATCGTGTGTCGTAAGATTCTCTGTCAGCCGCTCAGGAGAAATAGTGTGAGCGAAGATTCCCCGTCAGCCGATGTGACGAAATCGTGTGTTTAAGATTCTCTGTCAGCCGATGTGACGCACTCTTTTGTCGTTTGATTGTCTGTATGCGGATGTGACGAAATCGTGTGTCGTAAGATTCTCTGTCAGCCGATGTGACGAAATCGTGTGTCGTAAGATTCTCTGTCAGCCGATGTGACGAAATCGTGTGTCGTAAGATACTCTGTCAGCCGATGTGACGAAATCGTGTGTCGTAAGATTCTCTGTCAGCCGATGTGACGAAATCGTGTGTCGTAAGATTCCCCGTCAGCCGATGTGACGAAATCGTGTGTCGTAAGATTCTCCGTCAGCCGATGTGACGAAATCGTGGGTCGTAAGATTCCCCGTCAGCCGATGTGACGAAATCGTGTATCGTAAGAAAATCAGTAAATGCAGATAAAATCAGACCGGAAGTTGGATTAAATGAAAGCCAGCACATACGAAGTGTCCATACACACTCGGTGTCCTGGACCGGGTCCATAGACTTGACAAACAGACCAAAATTTGTGACATCATTTGTACAAATAGATATTTACTTTAAAAAGGACGTCCGATATCTTTAGATTCAATGAGATGAGTAGATTATATTCCGATTTTTCATAGTAGGTATTTGAAATTTGAACTCTCATTTTCATAGAGCGCAGTTACATTATTGTTTCCTGTCATATTCAATACCTTGGTACCTGAAGATTGATATCTAAAAGAGTAAGGAAATGAAGCACACACGAGTGATTTGCTCAGTTTTCAGCCCTGGTAAGTTCTGTAACTTTTCTCTGTTAATGATATTAAGAAAGTGTCTGCATAAAATAAATCACAAATGAGTGATTTGCTCAGTTTTCAGTTCTTATGTGTCCTGTAAGACATCTCTATGTTTATGATATTGAGAAAGTTCCCGGAGAAGCTATCAGATTTGTTTCAATCAGCCAACAAAAATACAAAGGATTGCCAGATACATAAAGTTTTTCCTATAAATCTGTCATACTCTCTATAGTTCCATTCACTGACTATAACTAATACTTAACGGTCTCCACGTGACATCGTCTTTCATCAATCTGACATACCCTCTATAGTTCCATTCAATGACTATAACTAATACTTAACGGTCTCCACGTGACATCGTCTTTCAATGGAACGCCTAGAGTTTCCGTAACAGAGAAATAAATACATTTCGTTATCACAAGATTATTTTGATGCGTGTTTAAAATATTCAGCAGGGAAGGCACAGAACACAGAAATATGTACAACAGGAACACTACTCCGTGGTGGTTGCACGTCACACGTCAAACAGGTTTTAACCCCAAACTAAATGTTTAAACTGTCATAGATCTTTCACTAACATCTATCAGCTTTATTTCATATAAAATCTATATCGATTTGCCTATTAATTAGCCCTGGTTCAAAGCCATGAGATTTTTGGGATATATATATCATCGAAACAACACCAGGATGGCTACCCGTGGTTTTCACTTTACAAAATCTACAGTAAAAATCCTAAAGAAAACATTGAGGCTAAGTTCCAGTGTTCAGGAAAGGTAAGCGTCTTCTGTTTCTAGGTAAGTCCAGGAAAGGTAACGTTCACAAAATAAGAACTGCGTTAACGATAATTAAACGATAGGGCAAACAAAAGTGTATGGAACAAGTTGAGAGAACATGAATGTTGACTAAATCCCAAAGAGATCGTGATCGCGATTATGAAACTTTACTATGATCTTAATGAATCGCATCCAAGATTTTCCGGCAGCTGTCAGCATTTCTAACGTGAAAATGATAATAAGATATCATACAGTTGTACCTCTAAGTGTTGATGTGTCGTCGATTGTCACGTTTTAGTAAAGGTCAAGGTAAACGGCTGTTGTATGAGGTTTAGGTATATCCATGATTTGAAAAGTCTTAAATTCCATGTAAATAATCAAATGATTATGATCTGTAGATTTCTTATTGTCAATTTATTATTACACTTTTCCTGGAGTCTCGTGTAAATATTTCTTTTGTTCATATTTTGCCCCGGTTTCATTGAATTTGAGTTTGAATCATGATTATGTTGACATGTTGGTATTTTCTTGTTGCTCTTATCTATATTCGGATGCGGTATCTAGGAACGCAATAATTTATCTACATTCGGATGCGGTATCTAGGAACGCAATGATTTATCTACATTCGGATGCGGTATCTAGGAACGCAATAATTTATCTACATTCGGATGCGGTATCTAGAAACGCAATGATTTATCTACATTCGGATGCGGTATCTAGAAACGCAATGATTTATCTACATTCGGATGCGGTATCTAGGAACGCAATGATTTATCTACATTCGGATGCGGTATCTAGGAACGCAATGATTTATCTACATTCGGATGCGGTATCTAGGAACGCAATGATTTATCTACATTCGTGTGTGGTATCTAGGAACGCAATGATTTATCTACATTCGGATGCGGTATCTAGGAACGCAATGATTTATCTACATTCGGATGCGGTATCTAGGAACGCAATGATTTATCTACATTCGGATGCGGTATCTAGGAACGCAATGGTTTATCTACATTCGTGTGTGGTATCTAGGAACGCAATGGTTTATCTACATTCGGTTGTGGTATTTGAGCGTGAAATGATTTATCTACATTCGGATGCGGTATCTAGAAACGCAATGATTTATCTACATTCGGGTGTGGTATCTAGGAACGCAATGGTTTATCTACATTCGGTTGCGGTATTTGAGAGTGAAATGGTTTATCTACATTCGGTTGTGCTATTTGAGCGTGAAATGGTTTATCTACATTCGGTTGTGCTATTTGAGCGTGAAATGGTTTATCTACATTCGCTTGTGGTATTTGAGAGTGAAATGGTTTATCTGCATTCGCTTGTGGTATTTGAGAAAGAAATGCTTTATATACATTCGTACAATCGGTTGTGGTATTTGAGGGTGCAATGATATTGAAGAAGGCGATGATGATATATCTGTAGTCCTTTTTGATAATTGAAAACGAGTTGATGATTTCTGTACATTCTGTTGTGGTATTTCTATGTATTTGTTTATTTATCTATACTTCGAGAACTTAATTTTGATTTTTATATATTCAGTTGTCATATCTGAGATGGCGATGGTGATTTATATATGATCTGGTGTGGCATTTTGGAAGATCGTACAAAAGACACACAAGCGAATAGCACCTTTTAATACAAAATTTAGTGAGATAAAATCGTACCAAACGATGAAGCTGTTTCGTCCTTCTAGGACTCGTTAGTGATACTAAGGGAATACATGTTGGAGCCTGGGAGGCATCTCACATAATTCAGATGATTGAAAGAAATATCAAAATCAATATGAGGGGATGAACTAACCCCATAATTCAATGGATGTCGTAAGGTTCATATACCTGATAAATTATCAAACAATACATGTGCGTAGTCTTAACCGTGCCACTAGTCTAATGAATCAAAACGTGGCATGCAATTTACGGCAAATTTCTCGGGGACAAAAATTCCACCAGCAGTGTCTACCACCTGTCGGCTCGATGACTATACAAAAGACACATAACTGAATAGCATCCTTTACCAAAATTTATATTTAGAACAGTAGAGCTAAATAACAAAATCAAACTGCATCATACGACTGTTTCGTCCTTATAGGACTCATCAGTGAGTCTAATGACCTTAATTTTAAAGCTTATAAGGCGCCTGAGAAAAAATCCAATGAGCGCAGTCATAATTTATCTATGTGCCCTCCTTATATGTAAAAAAAGCGATGATTATATACATAAAATCTGTGGGTATGTTTGAGAACGCGATGATTATATACATAAAATCTGTTGGTATATTTGAGAACGCGATGATGATATACATAAAATCTGTGGGTATGTTTGAGAACGCGATGATGATATACATAAAATCTGTTGGTATATTTGAGAACGCAATTATGATTTATGTAAATTCTTTAGTGGTATCTGCACTGATGATTAATGGATATATTCTGTTGTTAAATTTTGGAACGCGATTATGATTTGTATATGTTCCTTTCCTATATTTGATTCTGAAATTCTGTTTTCTGTTGTATATTTTGAAAAGCAATCGTAATTTATATACAATTATTATTTAAGTACGAGCTGATGATACATGGATATTCTTCTGTGATAACTGAGAACACAAATTGCTTTTCTGTATTCTGTGCGATATTTTCGAACGTGATTTATGTAATGTTGTGGTATTTAACAACACAGCTTTGATTAATTTGCATTTTTTGTGATATTTGAGAACAGAATCATGATCTATCTGCAATTTGAGAACGCAGTAACGATTTGTCTACGTTCCATTATGCTTTCTGATATAGAGAAATATTCAGATAAATTATCCTTGTAAATATCCCGAGTACGTATTTACTTTAACATGTAGATGAGATGGAGTCCATGTAAAAATGGTCTGCAGTTTCAAATTTATTTCAATGATCAACCCAAATTTCTCAAAACCGGAAACATATTACGACAACAAGCCTTATATAAGTATTATCCTTTTAATTCATCAATGTTTTATCATTTTGATATATAAGACTCTATACTGACAAAACAAACTACTCCGCGCATTTATATCGGATACACGATATAATATTAGGCGCAAATTCCTACGCCTATGCTATATTGGTCCAACCTATACCGATGGCAAATAGAACAAACATGCCATAGATTTATTTAAAGGAGGTGACAATTAGTTGTTCCTCGTTGAACATAGTGATTAGAGAAACCATTTGAATTTATATTTCATATGTTATTACCTTGGAGGACTCAATTATTTTAACATACATATATATATATTTATATGATGACACCGAAACACACGTTGGCATTTCGATCACAAATTGCTATCCGACAAAATCGTCCGGACGTTTATTGCAGAAGTCAGATGTTTCTACCTTGCAGAGTCATTGTCTAATGAGGGAAATTAAGGAGAACTATTGTATCGTTTAGAAAATGTTGTTGCTAAATGTTTAGAAACAAGTACATAGCATGCTTAATGCTAGAATTACGGAAATACACAAGGGAAGCGTGTATAAAACTGCAACAAAGGAAACATGGAAATAAGTAAGGTAAGCCAAAGCCAAGCTTGCAGCATGTGGATCCCACTGCTCTCGTAAAGGTGAGACTTAATGAAATAAGTGTTCAGATCAAAGTTTCATGTGTGTTTCTGATTTTATTTCAGAATAATTATAACATGCTGAACAGGAAGTTTTCAACAGGCCTTCTTTTAGGTAAGGCAATGGACTTTAAGGAAACATTTTACACAAGATAACGAAAGATTAAAAGAAAACACAAAAAGAGACAAAGGATTAATTTGAACAAATTTTCCAGTCAATGAGTTTTTTGTCTTGTATTCTATAAATAGATCCATTTTAATGCTTTTCTCTGCACCACTCTTCTGATACGCTGTAGAAATCTCACTTAAGTTGTATCACTTCCGCCGACTGTTGCTCCACCCTACACGAACATCCTGCCTTCACACGCATGAAATCCACTCTGTAGGGCTGAGTCACGTTAAAGTCTTTCACTATAGCATACATATAAGTATAATCTTGAATGCATCTTGAATAATACGTGTTGTCTATAAATCGACATGCTCTGTTTAATATAAATGGTGAGCAGGATTTTTCGTAAAACCTTTGCACCGTTCTTGTGTCTCTATAGAGCTGTAGTAACTTGTTATCCCGAGACAGACCCCCAAGAGGGGCTATTCTCCGAGTGTGTGTAGGACAACATTCTAAAGTACTGTCTTGTATCACGCGGTCATGGGTGCGTTTTTCTATATCTTCAAAACGCCTGTAAAATGAAAACACAATATTAGATGTTGAACATACTACCTTTCATATTTACTAAATTAAGGACACGTTAATGATTAAGTAACATTTTCACTTATAAAAATTAATAAGGACTTCTTATTAAAGTAGCGTAGCACATAGCTACATTAGAAGACAATACATATTAGATAATACTTAGATATGTTAGATTCTAATTTATGGAATTTCTTGTTTGTAGTTCCAGTTAATTACATAGACCTCCATGATACGTATAGATGTCAACAGTCAAAAGGAAATCCTCTGGCATTTTTATCTGTAGTCATTAAGATCCTTGGATTTTTTGGTAACACGTGTTATTAAGTGATGTAAACATATATTATTACAAAAATACCAATTAACCAGGAAAATAGGACAGAAACAGCTTATGTAGAATCATGCTAACCGAATCTCATTGATGAAAGTATAGTTCATGCATTATTTGATAACATATCTGTGATATGTGAACAAATAAATGCCATTTTTGTATGCTTTTTAAAACTGTGAGAAATATGTGTATTTTCTGTTTTTGTTAAATTCTCAGCTAACAATGCACTACCAAGAAATGTTTTATCAGTATGACCATATATGTATACAAAATGGAATGACGTCAAAATCATAGGTTTCAATAGATTATGTAGTCAAAATTTCTGAGTGCTGCATTATTGAGAATCGTAAGATTTTTCGACTAACACTGTAGGAAAAATTAAATACTGGTTATTGTTATGTTGTATAATGAACAAAGAGAAAGACAACTAATGAGGTGTTACTATGTTACTAGTGCAGGTAATATTTACTGTGTAGAAGTCATCTCGTCCCACTATTGAAAACATCATTACGATGTGAATTCGTCACTGTCAGTAATGGATAGGTTGTAATTAAGATACGATTTCGTTACTGGCTACATATGTTTTTTATAGGTACGGATTGTTGAGTCTGTCAACAGTCCCCTTAATACTATTGCTGTTATCTATTACGAATATCGTATAGAGAACATGATATTATCGATGTTGGCATTTTTTTCTGATTCCCATCTAATAAATGATCTAGATTGGGGTTCCTGTGATACACGGGTATATGACCTACAGTATGAATTGTCGCCGCGGTCCAGGGGGAGCTCTCTCGCCATATAACTACATTGATCACAGAAGTATATACAATTACAACTTTGCGTGAGTATACAATTGATTCATGGCTGATGCCATTAGTTACGTTAACATTTGAACTGAAACTGAAATGTCAACATTGGTACCAGTCATCAACTAAGCGTATAATTTCCTTTTTCCAAATCATTGTTTACGTCTGAAGATGCTATAAATAACCCGATAAGCAGGAAAATTAAAGCAAGTGTTAGTTTAATGATAATGAGTCGATTAATCTGGTTATCACATTCGGGGTGAAATTTTGACTGATCTCAATAACTGGATACAAAAGATGAGACTTTTGAATTAGAACGCTACTTGTAAATAATGTTTCATTTAGTATTTTGTATTTGGCGTTGGTGTTAAGACATAAGTATAGAGGTCATTAAAGAGGTAACGGTAAGCTGTTCCACATGACCGGTTACACTGTCGATATAATTATTTATTCATATTAGTTTGAATCAATTTATTATCGATATACGACCTCAATATTGGTATATTATAGGTTGTATTTTTATGGGCTAAATCACTCATCGAGTGGGTAAGCTTCTGTGAAGAAAGCTCGTGTCAGAACCCTCAAAATGATTACAAGACTGGAATCGTCTTTAAGGAAATTAGTGGTCAAAGCATCATTCAATGATGAAGTATCCAAGACCAATTTCCCCGGGTACTCCGTTTTTCTCCCACAATAAGACCCCTCGCGCGCGAACATCCGGGCCAACAAGAGTAATTAGTATAAGTTGAAGTAATTTGTTTTACAATTGTTGTGAAATAAATAAAGTTTATACTTATTTAATTTACCATCAATGACATCCAGCGTATGAAGATAATTAAGCGAAAGGTGCGTCGTTATGGCGACACGAGTGTAAGAATATCTCATTATTATTTGCCCTGGATTCTACAAGCGTTTTAGCCAGCAGATTTCAACTCGATACAATTTAGCTAAAAGTGCTGGTGAGGGGAACAATGGAAAAAGAGATGAAGTTAAACAAAAGGTTAAAAAATATCACTATCTATATTTGCCACATACACAATATGGAAGCCGCCTGTTAAAAAACTGCATAAACATTAAAAGGTATAACGTGAGGTAGTGCGCGAGATAGTACGCATCGAAATAGGTATAAAGAGAGGAATTTATGCAACTATTATCAATACAACTTCTGTTTGAGCAGAAGTTTCTAGAAGAATATTGTGTAAATTGATCAATGACATTTCATGTGTATCTCTCTCTATATTATCTATTTTATAATTCTAATTATCAACATATTTGTCTATCTGTACATTATCAAGTATAACCCATATTATCGACATAGTCATGTGTCTTAATATTGTCTAGTAGAACCCATATTATAGACATAGTCATGTGTCTTAATATTGTCTAGTAGAACCCATATTATCGACATAGTCATGTGTCTTAATATTGTCTAGTAGAACCCGTATTATCGACATAGTCACGATCGACATAGTCATGTGTCTTAATATTGTCTAGTGGAACCCATATCATCGACATAGTCATGTGTCTTAATATTGTCTAGTATAACCCATATTATCGACATAGTCATGTGTCTTAATATTGTCTAGTATAACCCATATTATCGACATAGTCATGTGTCTTAATATTGTCTAGTAGAACCCATATTATCGACATAGTCATGTGTCTTAATATTGTCTAGTAGAACCCATATTATCGACATAGTCATGTGTCTTAATATTGTCTAGTAGAACCCATATTATCGACATAGTCATGTGTCTTAATATTGTCTAGTAGAACCCATATTATCGACATAGTCATGTATCTTAATATTGTCTAGTATAACCCATATTATCGACATAGTCATGTGTCTTAGTATTGTCTAGTAGAACCCATATTATCGACATAGTCATGTGTCTTAATATTGTCTAGTAGAACCCATATTATCGACATAGTCATGTGTCTTAATATTGTCTAGTAGAACCCATATTATCGACATAGTCATGTGTCTTAATATTGTCTAGTAGAACCCATATTATCGACATAGTCATGTGTCTTAATATTGTCTAGTAGAACCCATATTATCGACATAGTCATGTGTCTTAATATTGTCTAGTAGAACCCATATTATCGACATGTTCATGTGTCTTTATATTGTCCAGTAGAACCAATATTATCGACATGTTCATGTGTCTTAATATTGTCTAGTAGAACCCATATTATCGACATGTTCATGTGTCTTTATATTGTCCAGTAGAACCAATATTATCGACACGTTCATTTGTCTTTCAATTCTCTGGTAGAACTCACGTGTCATAAGATTATGTTTATGAATACATACCTTTCCTCCCAGAGGATAGCCTGTAATAAATTATTGTGGCTTTCTAACTCCTGGCTTTGTTCTATACGCCCTCGTATTAGACTGGGGATCGTACTGTAGATAATGATAACCTGTATGATACAGAGATATGAAGAATAATAAAACATACAAAATATAATAATACATACAAAGTATAATAAAACATACAAAGTATAATAAAACATACAAAGTATAATAAAACACACAAAGTACAACAAAACATACAAGGTATAATAAGACATACAACGTATAATAAGATATACAAAGTATAATAAAACATACAAAGTATAATAAACATACAAAGTATAATAAAACATACAACGTATAATAAAACATACAACGTATAATAAAACATACAACGTATAATAAAACGTACAAAGTATAATAAAACACACAAAGTATAATAAAACATACAAAATATAATAAAACATACAAAGTATAATAAAACACACAAAGTACAACAAAACATACAAGGTATAATAAGACATACAAAATATAATAAAACATACAAAGTATAATAAAACACACAAAGTACAACAAAACATACAAGGTATAATAAGACATACAACGTATAATAAGACATACAAAGTATAATAAAACATACAAAGTATAATAAACATACAAAGTATAATAAAACATACAACGTATAATAAAACATACAAAGTATAATAAAACACACAAAGTATAATAAAACATACAAAGTATGATCAACATACAAAGTATGATAAATATACAACGTATAATAAAACAAAGTATAATAAAACATACAACGTATAATAAACATACAAAGTATAATAAAACATACAAAGTATGATAAACATACAAAGTATAATAAAACATACAAAGTATGATAAACATACAAAGTATGATAAACATACAAATTATAATAAAACATACAAAGTATAATAAAACATACAAAGTATGATAAACATACAAATTATAATAAAACATACAAAGTATGATAAACATACAAATTATAATAAAACATACAAAGTATAATAAAACATACAAAGTATAATAAAACACACAAAGTATAATAAAACATACAAGGTATAATAAGACATACAACGTATAATAAGACATACAAAGTATAATAAAACATACAAAGTATAATAAAACATACAAGGTATAATAAGACATACAACGTATAATAAGACATACAAAGTATAATAAAACATACAAAGTATAATAAAACATACAAGGTATAATAAGACATACAACGTATAATAAGACATACAAAGTATAATAAAACATACAAGGTATAATAAGACATACAACGTATAATAAGACATACAAAGTATAATAAAACATACAAAGTATAATAAAACATACAACGTATAATAAAATATACAAAGTATAATAAACATACAAAGTATAATACAAAGTATAATAAACATACATAGTATAATAAAACATACAACGTTTAATAAGACATACAAACTATAATAAAACATACAAAGTATGATAAAACATACAACGTATAATAAAACATACAAAGTATAATAAAACACACAAAGTATAATAAAACATACAAATTATAATAAAACATACAAAGTGTAATAAAACACACAAAGTATAATAAAACATACAAATTATAATAAAACATACAAAGTATAATAAAATATACAAAGTATAATAAAACACACAAAGTATAATAAAACATACAAATTATAATAAAACATACAAAGTATAATAAAATATACAAAGTATAATAAAACATACAACGTTTAACACAAATATACAAATTATGAATCACAGGTTACAAAGTAAATTTGTATCCTTAAAAAATAAGGTATGGTTCAGAGATATAAATTATACAGCAAAAAATTATGAAGTAAAAAAAAAATCCAGGGTGTCAAACAAAGACAAAAGTGTCACCCGAAAACCGTAAATCTAGTACAAATACACCCAAGTGTCAAACAAAGAAAAAAGTGTCACACCGATACCGTAAATCTTGTACAAATACACCCAAGTGTCAAACAAAGACAAAAGTGTCACACTGATACCGTAAATCTAGTACAAATACACCCAAGTGTCAAACAAAGACAAAAGTGTCACACTGATACCGTAAATCTTGTACAAATACACCCAAGTGTCAAACAAAGACAAAAGTGTCACCCGAATACCTTAAAACTTGTACAAATATCCCCAAGTATCAAACAAAGAAAAAAGGTGTCACCCGAATACCGTAAATCTTGTACAAATACACTCAAGTGTCAAACAAAGCTAAAAGTGTCACACTGATACCGTAAATCTAGTTCAAATATACCCTAGTGTCAAAGCTAAAAGTGTCACACTGATACGGTAAATCTAGTTCAAATATACCCTAGTGTCAAAGCTAAAAGTGTCACACTGATACCGTAAATCTTGTACAAATATACCCTAGTGTCAAAGCTAAAAGTGTCACACTGATACCGTAAATCTTGTACAAATATACCCTAGTGTCAAAGCTAAAAGTGTCACACTGATACCGTAAATCTAATCAAACAAGTGACATACCAAAATACAGCAGGTTGCATTGAAAAAATGCTAAATATAACTCTAGAATGAAAAGTGCTATACAAAGATACAACGTGCATTTCAAAGAATATACATCGTCGCAAGTTTCAAAGTAACTGATACAGCATCCTAAATATTACCAGACCAGTAAAGTTCATCAAAATCATGTCATTGGCCGATTCATCCGTCTCAATGTCTTCGTTCTCAAACTATAGGACGCCGCTAGTTAAGGGGTAAACTTGTCTCTTCCTTAATGACTTTTTTTAATTGAGTGATTTTGTATGTAAACGTGATGATATGAAACTTTTTGAGTCAAATAACAAATCAGAAATCACACAAAGTGGTTTTTGTTCTAATGCAGAAAACAATATTGAACACGATATGCTCCCATCACCTGTTGCTATATCGCTAACCATCGTGCTGACATGGTGAAACGAACGTAGGTAACTCAGGAGATCAGAATGGACATTTTGATGGCCATGTAATAACTTGATTAAACCATTACATATTTCTGGAAGAGTTTCACTTATCACTTATCACTTCAAACATTAACAGCATTAATCACTACTACTACTGGATGGTCTCTATGGTGATTAACATTCAAGGCATGACAGAAGTATATTTTTCACAGTTATCACTAGATCGACAGCACATTAATGTTAATCACACATTCACCGCCTTTAGAGCGATATGGTATTCCAATATCACATATCCCCTGATTTTCTCTATTCAATATATTTATCAGTATGACGTTAACTCGTACGATTCGCTGAATAAGCATGCCACAGTGTATGTATGCAGTTACCATTGTAGATGACTCTGTAGCCTTAGTTATTCTCATTATACACGAATAATAACAACCTATAACAGAGTCACAATAGAATAAACGTTGGAAGCTTGTATTTAGCGAATGATATAGCGTGTTTCGTTTCTTTTGTTGTGATGTCAGAAAGAATAAAGCAGTAGGTCATTCTATGATCGTTTTTTAAACCGGAAAACTTAATGTTTTCGTTCTTTTTGTATCTGCAGACTTTGGAATTGATAAAAGCGAAACTGTACTGTAAGGAAAAAATACTGTAAATATAAGGATTAACAATGTTCTGTTTAGGTTATCGGGAGATAACTACAATTGAATTAATGTAAATCTTACATAGAAGACTTAATTTACTGGAGTTCAATTGATAACATCCCACGATACCAAAACGGAACATTAATCCTTAAATAGGTAGGCGTTCGACTTTTTTTTCCTTTGGGAACGCTGGCGTTTTTATTGTTTTGTCAATGACTTTTTGATTCGGATTCCCCAGTACCGAAGATTTCTGGGATTACCTTTTTAAAGGCTTTTATAAGCAGAAGATATGAAATATTCTGTAATCAGTGTTGCTGGATTCATTAGGATAATAACAGCTCAGAAACAATATATTTACTCTTTTTTTATGTGTTTTGACGTCAATATCGAAAAACAATCGTTAAATGGCGTATGACATTGAAATCGCAATTTTGAGACGGTAGTCAGTTTGCCCATCCATTGCCTGAAACTCGTGTATATAACATTAGCAAAATAAATCACTGCGTGATATAAGAGAGCTGGACTTTAAAACTGTTAGAAGAGAGATTGGTTTGGACTCTAACTCTGTAAGAAAAGGATTTGGATTCGGTCTTTATATAGTGTTAGAAGAGAGTTCCGTTGTTCCCTTATTACATTTAGAAGGGTGGTTGTTTTCACTTTTACGACTGTTAGAACAAACTTTTGTTTGACGTCAAACATGTTTAGAAGAGCACACTACAGAGAGCCTTTAGGTGTCACATACTCAGATTTATCATGGTGTCCTGATCTAATAAACAACGCGATAAGATGTCAACTAGTTATCCTACAGGCGGCGTACTGTAATACAATCTAAACAAGCTTACTTGTTTTTATAACTCTTACATAGTACTTTACACAACTGGTTCCCAATTATAGTCAAAAAATAGCTCCGAAAGGTTAATCTCACCCCCTCCTCTTCCCCTCCATTCAATAACACAATGCAATGGCAATGTTGTGTGAATTTTTTGCACATCAGCAAGGAAATGTATGTAATTAGTGGTGTGGTTAGATGAACAGATACATTCCAGGGAGATCGGGGTTAGACTAAAGGCAAGCAGGGTTGTGATAAACGCTTGTGGAGATAGAATACTGATATACTAGAATATGCTTCAGGAGAGCGGGGTTAGACTAAAGGCAAGCAGGGATGTGATAAACGCTAGTGTAGATAGAATATTGATATACTGGAATATGCTACAAACGAGGGGTAACAAGCTAAAGGCGAGGGAGTTCGGCTACGTGCTAGAAGGGATACAGATAGGAAATAGGAAAAAATATCGTACAGGCTAAGAAACAGGCCACATGGTTATGGCAAAATATGTATTACAGACACAAGGTTAATAGTCACAGAAACGGTCATATCAAAAGTCGTCATCAATAAAACAAGTTACACTTACCAATAGATATATGAGCATGTGCATAGTTCCACCATTGGCGTTTGTGTAAATAGTCTCTTATTTACACACTATCTACAAAGGAATTCACAAAATTTAGTCTGTATTGCTTCAACAAAGCAAGAGCATATATGCCAACCTTTCATCGGAAATATTTTCAAACATCTCTATTTTTATATTGCTGTAACAACATTACATCAGTAAAATTTTGATGTTGAAATATCGTTTTTACGTTTTGATGTTGATTTAAGCTACAAAACAATTAATTTTATCTTGATATATCAACTTCACACCACACCTCCATTCTATACCATTACATCAGTTTTACATTAGTAATATTTCAAAACCTTTTATAAAAGTATGACAAATTCCTATTTATACTGATATATCAACCTTTCGTCAGTAATATTTCTAAACATCTCAATTTTTATACAGATATCAGCTTTATATTAATTCATTTAACTTTACCACTAGAAGCTCAGTCAAGAGACCACAGCTACTTTACTGTCAGAAATTCTGAAGAATAATATTTGAAACCAATACGTGTTGTTAATGTTATTTATAAATGACACATCAAAATTTAACCTTTGATATCAATTACTTATCAATGTTAATGACATTTTCTAAATCAATCAGAATTGGCAAATACACATTTGTAACTTACAACAGGGATGGGATGAAAACTTGGCGTAGGATTAAATATAGATTTTCTTTTCATGATTAGTACAACTGTAAACAGTCCTAGAAAGGACAAGGAACAATTGCACTTAAACATCACGCTTACAATCAACATCACAAAAGTAAATAATGATATCAATATAAGAATGCATAATAATAGAATTATTACAATATCGTTTGAGTAGTACATGGTGCTAGTAATAGAATACTGGCAAGAATATTGCAGTTTACCTTTATATAACAGTTTATTTTCTATTTTGCAAATATTGCAATAATCATTTAAATTACGACTGGGATTAACGATTGCAAGTTTAGAAGGACAGAGAAAGTATATATAGCTGAGAGTTCAGAGTTGGCCGATTACAGCGAGACGTGTGTCTCGAGCAAAGCTCGGGCAAAGCTCTCATAACGTCATTGATAAGTTAGAATCACCACAACGACATTTCAAATACGGAAACGGAATAAGGCGTTGTACGTTTATCGAATTTCAAGGACAAAATTGCACTTAACTTGTGACGATAGAAAATCAATCATTGTATGAGTGTTCTACTTCACATTAACTAAGCCCAGCTATCACACCAAAAAGTTGAACTCATTGTTTTAACCGACAAATTAAGATCGTTCTGAATTGTATTTTTAGAAATAAACTACACACTCACAGCGTACAAACGAACATTATAAGCTAAATGATTTTCCAAATCGACTGATTCCAAACAGTCACCAAAGTGTTGCTCTCTCTCCTGAAGTGTTTCACCGCCTTCTGTTACTTTCTATTGTTTTCATCACCTCGACTTTGTATCTTGATTTGATGCACTCCCACGTTCCTAGTATGGCCTTTTGCTTTATACCTATCCATTTTCTAGTGTTGCCTTTTACTTTGTTATATCCCCATTTTCTAGTGTTGTCTTTTACTTTGTTATATCCCCATTTTCTAGTGTTGTCTTTTACTTTGTGATATTCCCATTTTCTAGTGTAGTCTTTTACTTTGTTATATCCCCATTTTCTAGTGTTTTCTTTTACTTTGTGATATCCCCATTTTCTAGTGTTGTCTTTTACTTTGTGATATCCCCATTTTCTAGCTGTCTTTTACTTTGTTATATCCCTATTTTCTAGTGTTGTCTTTTACTTTGTGATATCCCCATTTTCTAGTGTTGTCTTTTACTTTGTGATATCCCTATTTTCTAGTTGTCTTTTACTTTGTTATATCCCCATTTTCTAGTGTTGTCTTTTACTTTGTGATATCCCAATTTTCTAGTGTTGTCTTTTACTTTGTGATATCCCCATTTTCTACCTGTCTTTTACTTTGTTATATCCCCATTTTCTACTGCTTTCTTTTACTTTGTTATATCCCCATTTTCTAGTGTTGTCTTTTACTTTGTTATATCCCCATTTTCTAGTGTTGTCTTTTACTTTGTGATATCCCCATTTTCTAGTGTTGTCTTTTACTTTGTTATATCCCCATTTTCTAGTTGTCTTTTACTTTGTTATATCCCCATTTTCTAGTGTTGTCTTTTACTTTGTGATATCCCCATTTTCTAGTGTTGTCTTTTACTTTGTGATATCCCCATTTTCTACTGCTTTCTTTTACTTTGTTATATCCCCATTTTCTAGTGTTGTCTTTTACTTTGTTACATCCCCATTTTCTAGTGTTGTCTTTTACTTTGTGATATCCCCATTTTCTACTGCTTTCTTTTACTTTGTTATATCCCCATTTTCTAGTTGTCTTTTACTTTGTTATATCCCCATTTTCTAGTGTTGTCTTTTACTTTGTAATATCCCCATTTTCTAGTGGTATCTTTTACTTTGTTATATCCCCATTTTCTAGTTGTCTTTTACTTTGTTATATCCCCATTTTCTAGTGTTGTCTTTTACTTTGTGATATCCCCATTTTCTAGCTGTCTTTTACTTTGTTATATCCCTATTTTCTAGTGTTGTCTTTTACTTTGTGATATCCCCATTTTCTAGTGTTGTCTTTTACTTTGTGATATCCCCATTTTCTAGTTGTCTTTTACTTTGTTATATCCCCATTTTCTAGTGTTGTCTTTTACTTTGTGATATCCCAATTTTCTAGTGTTGTCTTTTACTTTGTGATATCCCCATTTTCTAGTGTTGTCTTTTACTTTGTTATATCCCCATTTTCTAGTTGTCTTTTACTTTGTTATATCCCCATTTCCTAGTGTTGTCTTTTACTTTGTTATATCCCCATTTTCTAGTGTTGTCTTTTACTTTGTGATATCCCCATTTTCTACTGCTTTCTTTTACTTTGTTATATCCCCATTTTCTAGTGTTGTCTTTTACTTTGTAATATCCCCATTTTCTAGCTGTCTTTTACTTTGTTATATCCCCATTTTCTAGTGTTGTCTTTTACTTTGTGATATCCCCATTTTCTAGCTGTCTTTTACTTTGTTATATCCCTATTTTCTAGTGTTGTCTTTTACTTTGTGATATCCCCATTTTCTAGTGTTGTCTTTTACTTTGTGATATCCCCATTTTCTAGTTGTCTTTTACTTTGTTATATCCCCATTTTCTAGTGTTGTCTTTTACTTTGTGATATCCCAATTTTCTAGTGTTGTCTTTTACTTTGTGATATCCCCATTTTCTACCTGTCTTTTACTTTGTTATATCCCCATTTTCTACTGCTTTCTTTTACTTTGTTATATCCCCATTTTCCAGTGTTGTCTTTTACTTTGTTATATCCCCATTTTCTAGTGTTGTCTTTTACTTTGTGATATCCCCATTTTCTAGTGTTGTCTTTTACTTTGTTATATCCCCATTTTCTAGTGTTGTCTTTTACTTTGTTATATCCCCATTTTCTAGTGTTGTCTTTTACTTTGTTATATCCCCATTTTCTAGTGTTGTCTTTTACTTTGTTATATCCCCATTTTCTAGTGTTGTCTTTTACTTTGTTATATCACCATTTTCTAGTGTTGTCTTTTACTTTGTTATATCCCCATTTTCCATCTTTTACTTTGTTATATCCCCATTTTCTAGTTTCTTTTACTTTGTTATATCCCCATTTTCTAGTGTTGTCTTTTACTTTGTGATATCCCCATTTTCTAGTGTTGTCTTTTACTTTGTTATATCCCCATTTTCTAGTGTTGTCTTTTACTTTGTGATATCCCCATTTTATAGCTGTCTTTTACTTTGTTATATCCCCATAGCTGTCTTTTACTTTGTTATATCCCCATTTTCTAGGTGTCTTTCACTTTGTTATATCCCTATTTTCTGGTTGTTTTTTACTTTGTTATATCTCCATTTTCTAGTGTTGTCTTTTACTTTGTGATATCCCCAGTTTCTAGTGTTGTCTTTTACTTTGTGATATCCCAATTTTCTAGTGTTGTCTTTTACTTTGTGATATCCCCATTTTCTAGCTGTCTTTTACTTTGTTATATCCCCATTCTCTAGTGCTTTCTTTTACTTTGTTATATCCCCATTTTCTAGTGTTGTCTTTTACTTTTTGATATCCCTATTTTCTAGTGTTGTCTTTTACTTTGTGATATGTGTTGTCTTTTACTTTGTTATATCCCCATTTTCTAGTGTTGTCTTTTACTTTGTTATATCCCCATTTTCTAGTGTTGACTTTTACTTTGTGATATCCCCATTTTCTAGTGTTGTCTTTTACTTTGTGATATCCCCATTTTCTAGTGTTGTCTTTTACTTTGTTATATCCCCATTTTCTAGTGTTGTCTTTTACTTTGTTATATCCCCATTTTCTAGTTGTCTTTTACTTTGTTATATCCCCATTTTCTAGTGTTGTCTTTTACTTTGTGATATCCCAATTTTCTAGCTGTCTTTTACTTTGTGATATCCCCATTTTCTAGTGCTTTCTTTTACTTTGTTATATCCCCATTTTCTAGTGTTGTCTTTTACTTTGTTATATCCCCATTTTCTAGTGTTGTCTATTACTTTGTTATATCCCCATTTTCTAGTGCTTTCTTTTACTTTGTTATATCCCCATTTTCTAGTGTTGTCATTTACTTTGTGATATCCCCATTTCCTAGTGTTGTCTTTTACTTTGTTATATCCCTATTTTCTAGTGCTTTCTTTTACTTTGTTATATCCCCATTTTCTAGTGTTGTCTTTTACTTTGTTATATCCCCATTTTCTAGTGTTGTCTTTTACTTTGTGATATCCCCATTTTCTAGTGTTGTCTTTTACTTTGTTATATCCCCATTTTCTGTTGTTGTCTTTTACTTTGTGATATCCCCATTTTCTGGTGCTTTCTTTTACTTTGTTATATCCCCATTTTCTAGTGTTGTCTTTTACTTTGTTATATCCCCATTTTCTAGTGTTGTCTTTTACTTTGTGATATCCCCATTTTCTAGTGTTGTCTTTTACTTTGTTATATC